GGAGCAGGGCCGGGATGGGATCAGGGACAGGAGCAGGGCCGGGATGGGAACAGGGACAGGAGCAGGGCCGGGATGGGAACAGGGACAGGAGCAGGGCCGGGATGGGAACAGGGACAGGAGCAGGGCTGGGATGGGATCGGGGCCGGGAGCGGGGATGGGATGGGATGGGATAGGGGACAGGAGCGGGGCCGGGATGGGATCGGGGCCGGGAGCAGGGACAGGAGCAGGGCCGGGATGGGTTCGGGGCCGTGAGCAGGGCCGGGCTCGGGGCCGGCAGCGGCCGAAATTGGGCCATCCCCACAAAGGGCTCTTTGTGCTCCGGCCGGAGCGCGGCGGTGCCGGATGCAGCCCCGGGAGCGAAGCCAAGGCCGGGGCCCCGCCAGGGCTGTCCCGGGGCCGCGCTGGCCCCGCTCCCGGCTCACCCCGCGGGCTGACCCCGATCCCCGGCACAGGTGCTGTCCAAAGCCCCGAACCCCGCRGACCCCGCGGCCCCGCCGGACACGCAGGTGACCGTGCAGCTCTTCGACTCGGAGCCGCTGGCGCTGACCGTGCCCGGGGACATCCCGTGGGACGATCCCAAATTCATGGAGATCGTGGCCGAGCAGGCGCTCCGGCACTACAAGGAGAACGCCATGTGAGTGCGGGCCCGTCCCCACAATGTCCCGCGGGGATAATCCCGGGCTCACCCCGCTCTTTGCTCCGTTCCAGAGAGTAGCTGGACAATCCCGCTGCCGCCGCCCCTCCGGATCCCATTCTAGARCGGAGCTGTCACCATCGCTGTCACCTCCCCCCACCCCCTTTCCCGCTGCCGGGACCCCCTCCCCGAAAATAAAGGTAGAGTTGAACCCCCTGGCTCTGCTTCCGGTGTTTTTGGGATAATCCCGAGGGAAAAACGGAGGGAAAGCAGTCTCGGATGTGTCAGCGTGGAATTGGGGAATTGGGGAGCCGAGGATTCGGGGCTCCGATCCCAAATCTGAGCCTTCAGGAGCCCCCTGGAATTGGGGGGGTGGGTCCTGACCCCACAGACACGGATCTGGGTGCCACCCCCTGTCCCCATCCCATGGACACGGATCGGGGTGCCACCCCCTGTCCCCATCCGGGTGCCACCTCGTCCCATCCACTCTTCTCCGGGTGCCACCTCCTTGTCCCCATCTCATGGACACGGATCTGGGTGTCACCTCCTGTCCCATGGACACAGATCAGGGTGCCACCCCCTGTCCCCTCTGGGTGTCACCTCCTGTCCCAATCCGGGTGCCACCCCCTGTCCCATCCAGTCTTACCTGGGTGTCACCTCCCATCCCCATCCCATGGACACAGATCCAGGTGCCATCTCCTGTCCCCATCCCATGGACACAAATCCAGGTGCCACCTCCTGTCCCATCCCATGGACACAGAGCTGGGTGCCATCTCCTGACCCAATCCGGGAGCCACCTCCTATCCCATCCACTCTTATCTGGGTGTCACCTCCCGTCCCCATCCCATGGACACGGATCCAGGTGTCACCTCCTGTCCCCATCCCATGGACACAGATCCGGGTGCCACCTCCTGT